ATGGTGGTGACTGGTCCTGGAGGTCTTCGGCTGCCGGAGCCCTTGTCAGGGCGGGGAGGAAAGCTCAAAAAGCTCCCTTCCAAGGGGCCCCGGCGAGGAATAGCCAGGCATGGGGGGAGGAGACTGCACTGTTCTCGTCCGGGAGCTGGATTTTATAGTCTCTGAGACTAGAACAGTCTCACCATGCTGAGACCACTCTCCGCACACCTGAAGGTACTGGCAGAGGGAAAAATCCACGCTGGTTCTGGGGCCGAGATCTCCAAGCCTACTCGGATTGGAGTCGAGGATCCTCCATACTATGAGTATAATAGTCCATGAATGATAGCACTGTCCTCCCGTTGTTCATTGATTTGCTTGAGTGGGCACCAATAACGTTTCCATTGTGAGACTTGTTACTGTTTTTGGCATATCAAATATGCCACTGGGAGCTTTCCAGGCTCTGCCATGTGTGTGGGATACTCTTGGTAGATTGCTGGGCTCTCTGAGAGGGATGGAGAAATTGAACATGGGTCATCAACGTGCAAGACAAACGCCCTACCCGCTGTGCTATTGTTCCAGTCATGAAGGATATTTGGATGAATGGTAGAAAACTGCAGCAGCAATTAAAAAAATATCATTGATTTGTAGAAGGAGGACCCAAAAGTGAAGGCTAAAATTATTAAGGTTAAGTTGCTGGAGCATATAGAATAAAAGTGAGAGGACTAATAAGTAGTTTGCTGAGCAATAGAACTATCAATACAGTACTGAGAATGCATTATCTCAGATTAATTCTGACACTAATCACCATGATTCCATTTCAGGCCTGAGATGGTTTGCCTCCTGAGAGAGCTCCCCAAGGTGGACCAAGTAAGACTGCTTCATCGTAAACATGACTCATCTTCTTAGGGAATCACTTAATCACTTAACTTCCCGTTAGTCGTCGATTTGCTCGAGCGGGCACCAGTAACGTCTCCATTTGTCCCTGTCGCGTGCTAGTGTAGCCCAATGGCATCTGTTTGCTCTGGAAACATGAAGAGCCTCAAACCGATCGTTCATGATCTTCACGAAGAAGTCTGACCATCTGGTAGGTGGGCGGCCACGCGGTCTTTTGACATCCTGTGGAATCCAGTCAGTAACAGCTCTAGTCCAGCGGTCATCGTTAAATCTCATTACATGACCAGCCCATCTGATTTTTGACACCTTGGCAAATGAGACAGCGTCCCTGATTCTTGATCGTCGATGGATGTCGGAACTCCGGATTTTTTCTCTCATTTGAGTGAAACGTGATATTCCAAGCATAGCCCTTTCTATTCTTCTTTGGGAGACCTGAATAGCATTCTCATCCTGTTTGCATAGGGCCCAGGTCTCTGAGGCATATGTTAATGCAGGAAGAACAGTGGAATCAAAGAGATGTGCCTGGAGCCGGAGGTTCTTCGTCCTCTTAGCTATTTCTTCAACGTTCTTGAAGGCGTTCCAAGCCGCTCTCTTCCTCCTGCGCAGTTCGGGTGCCAGGTCATTCATCATGTTGACTTCTCGACCTAGGTACACATAGCTGTTGCATTCGGAGATGGTCGTTCCGTTAAGAGCAAATGGGGCATCAGGAACGAGGCTGTTTCTCATAAACATTGTCTTCGTAAGATTCAGCTGTAGTCCTAACTTTCCACACTCACGGTCAAAGTCGGCCAGCATTTGTGCCACTTGGCTGATGTTTGGTGTTATTAAAACAATGTCATCAGCAAACCAGAGGTGGTGTAATTGCCGACCATCTATCTTCACTCCCATTCCTTCCCATTCCAGTTGTCGCATGATGTTCTTGAGGGTGGCACTGAAGACTTTCGGTGAAATGGTATCACCCTGCCGGACCCCTCTCTTGACATCAATGATCACTTCTTTGTAGAATGGTGAGATCCTGGTAGTGAATCCACAATACAGCTAACAGAGGATCTTGATGTATTGGGCTTGAATGCCCTGATTGGCTAGGGCTTCAATGACCGCTCCAGTCTCAACAGAATCAAAGGCCTTCTTTAAATCGATGAACGTTAAACAGAGCGGCATCTTGAACTCCCGAGAAACCTCAATGAGTTTGGTTATTGTGTGGATATGGTCGATGGTGCTGAATCCTTTGCGGAACCTGGCTTGCTCGCATGGTTGTCCTTCATCTAGTGTTCTGCCAATCCTATTTAGGATGACTCGAGTGAACAACTTGTAGATGACAGACAATAGGCAGATAGGGCGATAGTTGCCAATGTCATGGATGTCTCCCTTCTTGAACAGTAGTACGGTCCTGCTGGCTTTCCATTGGGGCGGAACCTTGCATTCAGACAGGTAGTGAGTGAAGAGCCGAACCAGTGTATTGATGAGTACTGATGGCAGGTCCTTCAGGTGTTCAGGTCTGACCTTGTCTGGGCCGGGTGCTGTTTGTTTCTTTACCGACAAAATGGCGTGTAGGATTTCGGAAGGGAGAACATTGGGAATGACATATCCATCCTGTGGAATTTGGTATGTTGGCAAGTGGACCTGGCTATCAAAGAGATTTGAGTAGAAGTCATGGATAATCTTCTCCATTGTCGTTCTGGAGGATGGGATGGATCCATCAGGACGTCGGAGGGCAGTCATCTTGGTCTTGTAGTTGGTGAAGGACAGGCGGGCGTAACGAATACTTTTCCCAGCTTCTGCCGCATCTACCAGTACTTCTGCTCTTCTCTCTTTGAGGTCTTCCTTGATCACATCTCTGCACTGCTTTGCGAGCTCAGATGTTAGCTTGCGGTTGCCTGAGGCATGCGCCAAACCACGCTGGCGAATTAGCTCGAGTTTTTGAAGACAGGTGTTTTTTTGTGGGTATCTCTCTCTTGGCGTTCCTCGCACATTCATGGAGGTGCTGAACCAGTCAATCGTATTCCTCGTCAATGTTGTCAACAATGCATCTTCCCATGTTGCCGCAATAGTGCCAAAGAGTTCCCAGTTGGTGGTTGTTCTGGGAGTTCTCTTTTTGAACTTTGCAGCCCTTTCTCCCCGCTCTGTGAAGTAGAATTTTGCTCGAAGGAGACGGTGGTCTGATCCCGTTCAGAATTTTGGGACAACAGCGACATTGGTCAGGCAAAACCATTGATTGAATATGATGTGGTCTATTTCGTTGTGGAATCGTCCACTGGGAGACTTCCATGTCCAACATTTAGATTCTGCCTTCTGGAACTGTGAGTTACCATGGATGGTCTTGGTCGACATGATGAATTCGGACAGTCTCTAACCCTGTTCGTTCCATTCTAGGCTATGGGTCCCGATGTGAAATTCTTCAGCTGATCTTCTCGGTCCTATCTTGTCATTAAAATCACCCACGATGATCTTGTAGAAGGTGTGGTCTTCTTTATAGAACTTCTCCAGCTCCATGTAGAACTTCTCGATTTCTCTTTCATCATAATGAGATGTTGGTGCGTAGACAACGAAGATAGAAACTGCAGGCAGTGAGCCACATCTATTCAAATGTAAACGTCCAATTCGGGTTGTTAGGCATTGGAATGAATCAATGCTCTTGGCCAAGTTTGTGTTGACAAGGACACCAACGCCTCCGACACCTCTTTTATCGCAAGTTCTGAGGAACAATTCTTCTCCAGTGTCGAAAACGGCATGGTGAGTTTCGTGCCTTCTTGTCTCGGTCAGACCAATGATGTTGTACTTGATCATTCACGCTTGTACCATCAGGTCCTCGATGGATGTATCTGATGCTAGCGTACGAGCATTGAAAGTACAGACGATCATTTTTGTCTTCCTTCTCTGTGGCAGCCTAGTTCGGCCTTGAGATTTTGTCAGCCTCTCCTTTCTCATCCTTCTCAGTGCTGCCATGTCGGTGAAGCCTTCAGGATCAGGTGAATGAGACCAGTTGTAGTTACTGATTTTGGCATATCGAATACACAACGGATAGCTTGCCTCCACTACCCAGCCATCACCACACTCCAGGATGCTTTCCGGACCCATGTGGCAGCTCCAGCCGAGACTCTCGCATGACTGAAGACCCACAGAACAAGATAAGTGGAACTCTCTTAGACCCTGGACTCCAGCTCAGTGGACCCAGGGACAGAGTTTCTCTGCTTGCTCCCACCAACCACAGGTGACAAAGGGATTCTAATCAGGAGCTCCACCCTACCCTGCCCTGTCTGCTTCCATCAACCACCCAGGGATCGGATTGCGCACAGAAGACCCACCCTACCCAGATAAATACCCCACTGGCAGACTTCCACTATCGACACTACCTCCACTACCCAGCCGTCGCCACACTCCAGACACTTTCCAGACCCGCGCGGCCGCGCGACACATCCTAAGACACTAAATGCCCATCTTCTGGAACTGTTGTACCACATTTGATAGGGTTCAAATATGGTAACACCTACAAGGTGGATTAGAGGTCGCCCCCAAAGCCTCTTTCCCTCTCGAAAGACTGGCAAGCTACCGCGAGTATTCCGCCCGCACGGAAGAGCCTGGCAAGCTATCTGTTGTGTATTCGATATTCCTAGGGAATACTCTCACAAAGTCGAACCTTAGTGCTTAGAACCTATAGGGTTCTGATGGCTGAGAGGCTTCTGTACAGAAACGACCTGGGGCCCACTACAGAGCCCCCCGTTGGAGAGGTAAGAGAACAGCTGAAAAGTGCTCCTTCAGTCAGCTAAGAGAGATGGGAGTATATGTACTGTGGAGAAGGGGGAGAGGAAGGAAAATTCAAGGCAGGGAATTTGTAGGGGACTGGAAAAAAAGAGAAAGGAATTCATGAAAGATGAAAGAGATTTTCTCTCTTTTCCCTTCTTCCCCCTCTCTCACTTTCCTTCAGTATTAGTATAGAATCTACACGCTTCAGTTTTCTTCGTGTTTTCCTCTTGTACTTGAACCATGTATGCTATGCACCACCTTGAAGACTGCCCTGGGATAAAGAAATTGAGCTCTCTCTGGCTCAGCTTCATCAAGGTCAACAGCACCAGATCTTAGGGAAAGTAGGTGCTTTGGGATTTAGCCTTGATACCCAGTCTACATACCTGTTCCAATAGCGGGGAGGCAAATGGAGGAATAATTTCGTTTTTCACATTCTTGCATAACACAGGAAACTGAACTCTTGACATCTTTTCCACCAATGACATGAACTATATTCTTACATCTCAACAATCCACCTTCAGTAACAATAAAATCACTGTTGCTCTTCCAAGCTGGGAATCACACACACAAAAGCACAAAATTAGAGATATATTCTTTGATTGCATTAAAAAAATCTACTCTGGCAAATAAAGCAAAGAATAGGAATGAGATTTATGAAATACTACCTTTATAAATATTTTGCTTATCTTCTTGCTTTGATTGTGAGTTTATTTTTTGTTTTAATGCTTATTGGAATTCTTTAGTAAAATCTATAATTTTAAAGATGAATACATTGTTGCTCTATTCCAAACTCTTTCCCCAGACTCTCCACAGCCTCCCAAATTCAGCATCTGCTCACAATTTAGTATCCCAAATAGCACTGTACCTCACCTTGAAGAGAACATTGCATTTTCACCTCTTTTCCAGCACTTTTCAAAACTGCTTTGGAGACACCTACAGGAAAAAAATCAAGATGGTTATAAACATGAGTTAAAAAAATCACTGAGATCACATAATAAATAAGTGCTGTATTATTATTATTTTTGCTTTTTCGGTCACACCCAGCGATGCTCAGGGGTTATTCCTGGCTCTGCACTCAGGAATTACTCCTGGCGGTGTTTGGGGGACCATATGGAATGCCGGGGATCGAACCCAGGTCGGCCGCGTGCTACCACTGTGCTATCTCTCCCGCCCCAGTGCTTTATTATTTTAATGCCTTTGTTGTTATTAGAAACCCTAATATATGTATATTTGTAATAATAGAGGAAAACTGATAAAATCAATATGAGAAAAAATCAGTATGGATATGAAAATCAATAAAACTAACATGAGAAAAAATTATAAGAAACCATGCTAAAATTATTCAAATAATTAATTAATTAATATGTAATAAACTAAAGCTGTAGAAACCACTTTAGGATAAATTTGGCTAAAGGAATTGCTTTTCAAAGATTTATGGTGACTATTGCTCCAGTCAAACTCCTAGAAGCAAAGCACCTGTTTTGAGATTAAATGTGCCTGATGTTGAATTTACAATCACATCGGCCTCTTCCTTGGTGATATCTCCAGTGGCCACCTGGAAGATAATGGGACCAATCTTCATTTGATGTGTTCCTTTATTAGGGTTAAAGACTAACCCACAGAAACCTGTGAAGGAAACAAATGGAATCAATAACCAAACTGACAACAGAAAGAGTGACCTGAGTCTCAGGTGGGATTCTGACATATTATCTTCTTTCTGTTAATCACCTTTATCCTGGCCATGCCCTTGATTAGGGAGGCTCTGTTTTGGGGGAAAAATTGTAAATTGGAGTTCATATGACTGTGCAATGCTGTGACACTTAAGGAGAAGTTAGCTTGCTGGAACCCATCTCTCCACTGATGCACAAATAGAAAAATACACTGACATGAAATACATTGAATGGAAGGCAGACTGGAGACAGGAATAAAGCTAAAAGCATCAAGCTGTACAGGAAAGAGTTTCCCATCCTGCTCTGCTTGGAATTTCCCTTCTATCTTTCTTAACTTTGACCCAGGGGTGGCATATCTGCACAGCAGGTAGGGCATTTGCCTTGCATGTGGCTGACCCAGGTTCAATTCCTCCATCCCTCTCCGAGAGCCCGGCAAGCTACCAAGTGTATCCCACCCGCAAGGCAGAGCCTGGCAAGCTCCCCATGACGTATTCGATATACCAAAAACAGTACTAACAAGTCTCACAATGGAGACGTTACCGGTGCCCACTAGAGCAAATTGATGAGCAATGGGAGGACAGTGCTACAGTGCTACATCATAGGGGGCACAGATAGCAAATTTCTCTGAGAATTCCAGTATCTGTGGCCAGAGGAATGAGCAAAAGGACCTGAGGAGCTTTAAGAGCATGACAGGGGATCCTCACTATTTCCCATATTGTTTTTCATTTTTCATTCCAGGCCTGACCAAGGTAATTACAGTTGCAGAAGCCCACTGTGGCTATATGGTGAGTTTCAAACTCTGCGAGACATATTGTATTTCTGTAGCATGTCAGGGCAAAGGACAATTGTAGTTCTAAAACTATATTTCTCTGTGTGTAAATTCACTCTTATTTTTTGGTATCTTATCTTTCTCAGTTTTTCAAAGGACAGCTCTATATACAAAATTATTAACAACGGAACAGACAAGTTGTAGTCAGAGAACACTGATAGAGGAAATCCCTGAGCTGTGATACTGGGCATGGTGCTCACCTAGTAAGTGTGAGAACTGAAATAAATCAACAGTTCACTACAGAACTGAGCATATAGGGGAGACCCAATCAGAAAAAATATTTTAAACTTATTTTTTCCTTCTCTGTCTCTCTTTCTTTCTCTCTCTCTTTTTGTTAGAGATGTATGAAAAATAATAAGCCGTGACTATCTCACATGCTAAATTAACTGTGAGGACTTAATAAAGATATTAATTTAACCCTTAAGTAAAGACTAGATATATTTTAACTGTATTATATATTGCATAATAACATGTTTCATGTAAGAAATATTATAGTGAATATCTTGATAATGAATTACAGTGAGACCCTTTTTCCTATTGAACGCTTGTATCCTATGATATTTCTTGTTCTCTGTATTTTTAGACCCATTATAATTCTTTTTAAAATTTTATTTAAATTTTTTTTTACTAAATTAGTTGTTCATGAGTTGGTTTCAGTCATACAATGTTACAACACCTGTCCCTTCACCAATGTACTCTTCCTATCACCAATGTCCCCAGTTTTCCTCCTTCCATCCCTGCCCCAAGTCTGCCTATACAGCAGATATTTTCCAATCAGAAAATCTTGAGAATGGGAAGTGCATCCCATACAGAAGATGAGACAGCATTTTTAGCACAAACTTAACTGGTTAACTCTGTGTTAAACTAAAAAAAATCAACCTTTTCCAAATGATAACAGTGTCCAGGTCTCACAATATACTATTTGGCCCATATACCACTTGGCCCGTAATACAAAATTGTCATTAAAGAACCAGGAAAATGGGACCAATTCTCAAATGTGAAAATAAACAAAGGCTAATCGCAAAATGATCCAGAAGGTTGGAATCACCAAAGACTTTAAAACCTCTTCTGAAGTCAAAGTAAATATTAGAATAATTAATAAGTCACTGTCACTGTCCTCCTGTCGTTCATCGATTTGCTCAAGCGGGCACCAGTAACGTCTCCTTTGTGAGACTTGTTGTTACTGTTTTTGACATATCGAATACGTTACGGGGAGCTTGCCAGGCTTTGCTGTGCAGGGGGCATACTCTCAGTAGCTTGCCGGGCTCTCTGAGAGGGGAGGAGGAATTGAACCCGGGTCAGCTCTGTGCAAGACAAACGCCCTACCCGCTGTGCTATCGCTCCAGACCAATTAATTAATTAGTTAATAAGTAGGTACAGAGAAATATAAATTATAAAACTGGCATATTATAATTTAAATATATAAAATTATGGGGCAAGGGAGTCAGTACAGCATGTAAAATGCTTGTCCTAACTTGGCTGCTTCAGATTCAATCTCTAGCACCCTATATGGTCCCTCAAGCTTCATGAAGAGTGATCCCTGAGCAAAGAGCCAAGAGTAACTCCTGATCACAGTCAGATGAAGCCCAAGACCAAACAATTTTTTAATGTATTGCATGGGCTTAAGTATATAGTAAAGAGTTAACGAAATTGACAGGAAATCATTAAAAATGATCAATATGGAACAGGTGAAAGAAAAATAAAAGATCCTAAGGGACACTAACAAAAAATTTAGGGTTATAATAATGATAAAGTAGTGTTCTTGCTTTGTATGCAGCTGATCTGGGTTTGATCCCTAGCACCACATATGATCCCTGAGCACCACTCTCCAGAGTGATCCATAATTTAAGCATTGACCACCACCATATAGGTTGGGAGCGATAGCACAGTGGTAGGGCATTTGCCTTGCACGCAGCCAACATGCCGACACGAGTTCGATTCCTCCGCCCCTCTCGGAGAGCCCGGCAAGCTACCAAGAGTATCTCGCCCACACGGCAGAGCCTGGCAAGCTACCCGTGATGTACTCGATATGCCAAACACAGTAACAACAAAGTCTCCAATGGAAACGTTACTGGGCCCGCTCGAGCAAATCGATGAACAACGGGAGGACAGTGACCACCACCAGATGTGGTCCCTCATCTCCAAAAGATTTAGTATTCATGTTATTTAGAGCCAGACAGAGAGAGGGAATTGATACCTAAAATATTTATAGAAAAAATAGAAAAATCCACAAGTTTGATAGAAGAAATATATATCCTCTGATCCAAGAGGCTCTATACTGAAAACAGGATAAATTCAAATATATTAATAGCAAATTAGAGAGAAAGTTTTGTTTGGTATTATTCCTTTAATCATTTAAAGCCTAGTCTGAAAACATATGTTCCAACTTATAAAACAGTCAGATCTTAGAAATTAGTATCTCTTGAGCCAGCAATGTGGGACAGTGGTAGAGGATCTTGCCTATCTAGCTAGGATTTAGGTTTGAACCTTGGCATGACAAACCATAACAAGACAAAAGTGGAAGAAAAAAGGAAAAAAATAACAATTAATAGTTTATTAGTATTTAAACATTCTCTTTACAGAATATAACTTGGCTGTGTCCTCTTTGCTTCAGACTACAATAACATACTTAATTACAAAATTTTTTCTCCATAAGATCATCACTTGTCACTGTCCTCCCATTGTTCATCGATTTGCCCGAGTAGGCACCAGTAACATCTCTATTGTGAGACTTATTATTTCTTTTTTTCGCATACTGAATACGTCACAGGTAGCTTGCCAGACACTGCCGTGTGGGCGCAATACTCTCAGTAGTTTGCCGAGCTCTCCAAGAGAGATGGAGGAATCGAACCGGGGTTGGCCCAGGTCGTCCGCATGCAAGGCAAATGCCCTACCTGCTGTGCTATCACTCCAGCTCAAGATCATCACCAGTAACTAAAAAACAAACAATACCAAAAAATGGATTGAAGAGCTGAGCAGAGTCTTCCTAAGAAGAGTAACAGATAGCCAATAGATATAATAAAATATGCTCTTCATCATCAGGAAAATGCAAACCAAAATAATAATGAGATCCTCACACATAAAAAAGAACTAAAACAACTAGTGTTGGCATGAATGTGGGGACAAAGGAACCCTCACTTGCTGTGTTTGGAAATGTTAACTGGCTCAACCTGTTTATATAGCAATATGGAAAGCACTAAAAAGCTTGAGGATTGAGCTTGCATATGACCCAGCAATTCCAATTTCTGGAATCTGTTTGAAGGGCCTCAAAATACTCTTTCTTTCTTTCTTTCTTTCTTTCTTTCTTTCTTTCTTTCTTTCTTTGTCATATGGATGATTTATTTTGGACTTATACTGAAAACAAAAGCAGCAAAATCCAAAATAAATAAGTGAAAGCTCATAACTAAACTTCAAAATACTATTTCTAAAAGACATTTGTGCCCTCTAAGTTCTCTGTAGCACTATTTACATAGCAGTCAAGATCTGGAAACAAGCAAGTGAAACTACTGGGTAAAGAAGTCGTGATATACCGCCCAGTTTTCTCCCTCTCCCAGGTAAATCAATATTCAAACCTGGGACTTCGCCTTCCCTGCACACACGCCCCAGGAGTCCTCTGGGACCCTGGGCCACCCACCATCCCTGAGTCCCTTCCTTTTCTTCCCCAACGCTGCGCCCGGTTTTCTCCCTCTCCCAGTTCTGTACCCCACCACACCAGGTACCCGTAGGGGCGTGGCCTCTGCAGAAGTGGGCGTGGCCTCTGCAGAGGTGTAAGTGGCCTATTTTGCGGATGGGGAACACTAACACAGCCGCAGGTAAGTTACCCATACCCAGCAATCTCTGGTAACATCTCAGTCTCCATACCACCACACCAACATGAAGAAACAATGCAAATCCTCACCACGAGGAGAGGATGATGAAAAGACTTCAGAAACCTCAATAGGTGTTACTCAATAATGGGGTTCTCTGATAAAGAATTCAGATATGAAGTAATGAAGATGTTCAATGAACTCAATGTAACAGTGAGACAGATATCCAGTAAATTAAAGGACGACATGAAAGACATGATCGAGAATACAGGAAGAAATGAGAGCAGAAATTGGAAAGCAATGCACAGAAATGTCACGAAT